TCCGACCTATGGGCCCAGTCAACCCAGTATCCCCCCCTTCCCTGCCACCCCAGGTCAGATCCATGGACCCAGTCAGCCCAGTATCGCCCCCCCCTCCCCGGCTCAGACCAATGGGCCCAGCCAGCCCAGAATACTATTACAATCTATCATACCAACAGTCAAGCAAGGCTTGTAATAAAGAGTCTGGCCAGATCTTTCCAGCCCAGTGACAGGGCTACGGTCACTCTCCAAAGCATGTGGGCCTAGGGAGTAGTGTGGCGATTTCCATTTCTGATCTGACCAGGAGGGGGAGGGGGATTCTCTGTCAGCCACTGGAGACTTTGGCGTTGGCGTGTGCAATTGTAGGGAGAAGCTTTTCCTTCCCTGTTATTTACTGCTGCCTTTCAAACCATAATGCAGCCCTGACTCTGTTTTCCTCAGCTGACAAAGAATGCAGCTTTTAATGATAATATTGAGCTAATGTATGTGATTCCGAGCTAGATGAGCTATAGGGATCCTTCACCCACTGTCGAGATGCAGCTGCCTCTGGGGTGGGGTAATGGGGGTCTGTTATACAGGGATCCTTCACCCAGTGCTGAGATGCAGCTGACTATCCCTATGGCTAACGTGCACCACTGCTTGAAGCACAGCACCCCCTAGTGCCACACTGGGGTTAGTACTGACCTTGGGGAGAGAGCACCCCCTACTGAGTCCCCACCCCACTCCCAGCAGCACAGTGCCCCCTACCAGCTCAGTTGCAACCTCTGCTAAGTGCACAGCAGCACTCAACCAGTCCAGGAGTGTGTGTGCAGAAGCAGAGAGAATGTTATACAGCAGAATAGTCTTGTGCCATTGTGTAAATCTATGAGATGGCCCCAGCTTGACAGAAATCACAGGGCAATGAAAATAATTCAAGATTTGGAAGCAGAGAGGCTGGCAAGATCAGGATGTTTAGCTCAGCAAGGAGATAAAGGAGAGGCGGATATGCTAGAGGGGCCTAAAAGAATGTACAGGATCAAGACAGGCAACTGGGATCTGCTATTCACCTTCACTCACCATTCAGGAACCCCTAATGAAATTCCAAGCAACACATGTCAAGTGACTCCATTTGTACTCAGTATCATTAACCTGCGGAACTCCCTGACACATGATAGTTATGGACCCCACTCCCTGCCTCTCGAGCTGCCCTTTCCATCAGTGTATTTTCCACCAGCCAAAATTGGCACCTACAGTCTATTCCCACCACCACCAGTGGCCAGCCTTGTCCCCTACAGTTTATTCCCCTCCAAGTTTTATCCTTTGCTTCTGTTCATCCCATAGCCCCTAATTTCCCTCCAAGCCATTCTCCCCCCACCCAGTGTCTTTTGCACCTATTGGATACCTGGAGTCAGATCTCATGCCACCCTGCGGCTTGACTAAGTCAGTCATGGTGATCTCTTGTGAGCTTCCTTCATAAACTCACTCAGTCGCCAATGTCCTCTCCCTCTTGAGACCCTGTGTCAAGTGACAGCTCTGAGTCCCAGGCTTGGCTGAGGGCTCTAGCTAAGCAGTGATTTGCTTACACTGCCCATCCTGCAGAAGGGGGCACTGAAAACACACAGATCATTGAAATACCTACCGCAGCCTTGTAAAGGAGGGTCACCCTCATATTCCACACCACCTGGCGTATGAGATGTGGGAGCTCAAAGCATGCACGTAGTTAATTCCACCCCATACACTCCCTTGCGGAGTGGTCATGTTATCTCTGATATTGCAAATGAAGGAGCAGCTGAGTGAAGTGACTCGCTGGTAAAGCAACAGAGAAACAGGCCACAGCCCTCAGGGCTCCTGACACCTACCTACCCCTGATCTAACCACTACCCTCCCAAGCCAGGGCTATACCCCAGGAATCCTGGCTCCTAGCCCCCCTGCTCTAACCACCTGACTCAATTTCCCATCCAGATCCAGGAAAAGAACCCAGGAGTCCTGACTCCCAGAACACTAAGCCACTTGCTTCAAGCTGTTGTGTAACTCATTTTCCTTCTACGTTCACCCGTAAGCGGAGTAGAGAATTTGGTCTGTAAACCATGGAGGGTAGTGGCTCTGTTGGGTGCATTCTCATGCAAACCCCCTATCCTATCACAGCGCCCACTGGTGGTGTGACCACATATGCAGGTTTATGAGCTCACTGCCTAAGTTCCCTCTAAGCAGCCATGCAGCAGCCTATTAGGGGCAGTGCAGGCGTTCAGGCTGCAGCGGGGAGAGATGCCTGTCCCCCTGCCCCCGACCCAGCCCAGCCCCAGACCTGCTGTGGCTGGGAGGAGGCGCCCCTCCCCCAGCCCCAACCCAACCCCGGCCTGGACCTGCCTTGGCCAGCGAGAGGCACCTCTCTCCCCCAGCCCAGGTGCTGCTGTTGTAGCCCCGAGGCAGCCTGCATCCCAAACCCCTCATCCCTGGCCCCACTCCAGAGCCCGCACCCCAACCCTCTACCCCAGTCCTGAGACCCTCATCCCTGGTTCCACCTGCACCCCCAGCTGGAGTCCTCAGCCCCTCACACCCCAACCCTCTGCCCCAGCCCCGAGCCCCCTCCCACACTCCAAACCCCTTGATCCCTCCCCACCACATGAATTTTGTTAATGTGCACCAATATGGAGGTGATGTGTCATACATCACTTCCATATTGGTGCACATAATAAAATTCATTCTGCACATGGGTGGGAAAAATTAGAGGGAACACTGTCCACTGCATAGGTGCTGATAGTCCCACCCCTTGGGACAGCCTGTAGAGGCTTGGCCTTGGGATCCCTGATGCCCCTGGATTCTATCTTGGCAGGCAGCCCCAATCACTGTACAGACACAGCACTGCTACTACAGGCTGGGCTGTAATGAAGTGGTGGGGAAGAGGGTGCCACTGCCCTCCCCTGGGAAGAATCAGAGTCACAGCTCTGTATGACAGAGCCCCGCACAGTTAACAGCGAGTCTCTTTTAGCTCTAGTCCATGGGCAGCAAGTTTGGGAACTCTAATCCTGCTACTGCCAGGAAGATTGGTGTAGCTAGGGAGCCCATGGCTTTGGCACTGTCGATTGAGAATCTGGTGAGGAAACTGGGAACCAGCTGATGGGAATGGCACATACTGGGAATGGTCTGCCAAGCTCCTGGAGTCCTCATCCTCAGCTGGTGCAGTGGGTGTAACTGCATAGGAGTCAGGACTGCTGGGTTTTATCCCCAGCTCTGACAGTCAGGATTCCTGGGTTCTATTCCTGTTGACATCAGTGGTGCTAGGCATCTGTCCCTCTTTCTGCTTTCTTTCCAGTTCTAATAGGGACAGAGCCCACAGATCTGTCAAAACAGCTACTGAAAATATAGTTATGTATGTTTTTTAAACATGTATTTTCCCAACACACACCCGCCAAATTTACAGCCAGTGCAAAGGACCAAATAATGTGTGCAGTGTCCTTGTCATTTTAACATCAACTTTGGTTGCCATATGTTAAAAAAAAAAGTGGGGGGAGGGAGAGGTGGGAGGTGGGAATGGAAAATGTAGACAGACAGACAGAGTCGAAAAGTGTGTCTGGGTGGGGGGAGGGAAAGATTTTAAAATATGCAGAAGTTAGAAGATAGATAAATGAATCTAGAAAGAAAGAAAGAAAGAAAGAAAGAAAGAAAGAAAGAAAGAAAGAAAGAAAGAAAGAAAGAAAGAAAGAAAGA